TTTTTTAGATTTATTACTAGATAGAAAAAGCTTTGCTCTTCTACAAGACCTGAATCCCTGCTGGCAGCAATCACATCACCTGGTCTTGTGTTTGTGATATAATAAGTAATGCTTTAGGCAGTAAATATTAGATTAATATTTAATCAAAATGCTTTGAATCCACTGGGAAGCCAGGTATGGTTGTAACCTCAGAGCTTATTGTGATAGAGCACAGTGTTCCAATTTCCACACTTGATGTAGCGCCGGGTTAAAAAAAGAGAGGCAATAGGATTGGTGCGATTGATAATTAGTTTTTAATGTGTCACACTCATCATGTCCAATTTCATGCCCCTTGGGCAGCTGATCACAGATTTAATCAACACATTATTGCTTGCTATACTTAAAGCGACTGCRGGGAGGCTCTGTCTGTATGTGGGTGTTTGTGTAAGGTGGTGGGAGTGGGCGGGAGACAGCGTGTTGGTTCGTCTTTGTGTGATCGTGGAGCAAGCGAGAAAAGGTTGTCAGCATGTGCATCCATCCCAACAACATCCCTCATTGATAGACACTGAATGTGTGTTCCAGGCCATTAGCCAAGAGCGACGTTTGAGGGTGACGTGTTTGGAAGTGTGGGTCTGTGGTGTGTCGCAGGAAGTCATTATTGTGTTTCTTGTGAAGCGAATGGTGCTCAGACCTCCATCAGCTGATGAGTACAGATAACAGTGGGACTGTTTTGTCTGTTTTTGTAAGCACACCCTCTTGATGCTGCGGACCTTTCAGCCTATTTGGGATAATGACCCTGTTCTTTGTAAGCATGACATGGTGAGACTTTTAAGTTTTAATTTTACTGTGGTAAGCCTAATTATTGGTTTGATCTGACCATTATTTTTGTTTGTTTTTGTGTGATGCAGAACAGAACAGTACATTCAAAAAAACCACAGTCAAGCTGCAAGTTTTAATAGATATTTAAGCCCCCAAAACACAACTTAGTTTTTCTTTTGAAGAACCGTTTGAGCTGGTTTGTAGACATTTTTGTGGGTTTGGACTTTGACTTTTGTTACATGGGAGGAAGGTTCTACAAAAGTCAAAAGGCCAAAATATCCAGAAAGTACCTTTTGAGTTTGTGTACTTTGATTATTTTTAATTTCAAAAACAAAAAAATGGATGGTTATTTTTGTTTTGGTTTTATATTCCTAAAACAGACATCTTTTTGTTTTTGTCAAACCAAAGGTTTAGCACTGTTTTCATGGCAACTCATGTCTGTCCACTTGGACTCATCAGTGATGCAAACTGTCAGCTGACATGTTGAAGAAGCTACAGTGAGAAATTATTTATTGTGACTGCCTGCTTATAAAGTAAAACATATTTATTCCTCCTATTATCAGACCATTTAAGGTGGAGCTGGAACTATATTAATAGTTTATTTTTAATTACCAGATAATAAAACAATATAGTCTGTAGTTAGTTAAAAAATGCAAAAGTTAGCTAGTATTTATTTACAGGTCGATAGCTATTATAAATTATTTAACTATCTCCACCTTAAATAGTCTAATAACGACAGTGTTAGATTTATGGTTTGAGGAAAATAAAACAATTTTCCTGTTTTTGGAGTATAAAATGATTTAATTTTTCAATATTTGTTTTTAAATGAAAAAACCTAATAGATGCCCATTCAAAGGCCTTTTTTTCCTCCCCTCAAACTCTGTATTTATGACTAACGTACAGCAATAAATATTGATCATTACTGTATTTGGGCTACTAAAATGACACAGTTTCAACAATGATGGCTCCTAGAAAACGTCACAAAACTGAGGCTGTTGCAGAGTTTCCTTTATCACTGAGCGGTTTCTTTCAGATATGAAGCTGTTTTTTCTCTTATGAATGTGGCTACAGTTTCATTTTCTAATTTGTTGGACTCATTCAAGTTTCTTCCACTTGTCCATCAACTTAGTTTTTTGAATCGGTGATATTCATTGTAGGCAGGACCGTGACTCTTAAATAAATATAAAACCTTTTTGCAGAATTAGTATGTTTTGCTAAGTAATCTGGCTCTTTCCTCTCATTATTGTAAAGAAAACGGTGTGCGACTGGTTTGATGAGTTCAGCAGGCTGGGCCTGGTTGCCATTGAGGGACTAAGTCATCAGGCTGCAGAGAGTCAAGAAAAAGCGGAAAAGGCAGTAAAATGAGATGACTGGAGCCAGACAGAGAAGCGGCCGTGTTTATCTTGAACTCCGTACCTCCGTGGCTGCGAGTCACACGTAGAGGGAGACATTGGGAGGTTGTGGAGGCCTTCATTAAATGCAGCTCAGGCCCTGGTGAAACCCCGGCTAATGTCCCTATCATCTCTGGAGTGGACTGGCGTGGAGCTCTCTGTCCAAATGATTCATGTTTAATGCATCTCTGCAGTCCTTGTCATTTAACCTCACCTCTGGAGGTTGTGGACCGGGGCGGGTTAGCGAAAGCTCCCACAAGAGCAACGAGGGGCAGATGCAGTTCTTCTCACTCTCTATTTGCTTAACATGGAGGGGTGGAGGGGGAGTGCTTCTGCATGTTTCACCTATTGCTGCTCGGTCTCCCTGCCCCCCACAGCCGAGCCGTCGCTTCAAACTGCCTGAACCTGAACTGGAGGGTGGTCCGGGTTGAATTTGTGTCTCTCTGAGGCACTTTGTTACTGCGCTCTCTGTGCACCACGGTTGAATGCTAAAGCAGGGAGGCAGTGATGCGATGCTGGGAGACTTAGCAGTTTACTCCTTTAGTGAGTGCTCGAGCTTTGGTAAAAGCCTTTCTGCTGAAACTGAAAACTGTCAAACTCCATCAAGCTTTTGTCGAGCAGAATAAGCATTTGGTTGAAACTGACAACTTGTGGCTTTTCTGTTCTGTGCCCCCCCCCCCCCCCACACACACACACACATCTGAAGTGAGGTTGCTTGAGTGTGAAAATCTGATGCTCATCAAACACTAAGCAGTTTGACAATGAATGTGTTGCAGCTGCTTTCAGTTCAATTTAACTGTGTGACGTGTTGGATGTCACTTCCTTTTTTAAAACGTATAAAAGCCTTTAAGTTACAACGAGCTGACGATTCAACAGGATACATCTGGAGCACAAATAAAGCCGTGTTACCAGCTATAACTGAACTGATGTTCCACTTCATCTTTGTAACGATTTTTTTTATTTATCTTTTTGCTTCATGCACGTACGGCCTTCCTCTCGCTCCTCCTCTCCCTCACACACACCCACTCAGTTTCTGTGTCGCTTTCTTGCTCTGAATAATTTTATAATAATGATTAGAATATCACCGTGGTTGGAATTTGGCAAAAATAGAAGAGGAAATGGGTTTTCTAATCAAAAGCTGCCTCTTAGCTGGAATCTTGATGCTTACTTGGCTGGAAACTGCTCCTCTGTGACGAGGACCTTAATGGATGCCAGCTCTTCTCGTTCCATCCACTGCTGGCTTTTATGAAGATATCTCAGCTGAAGGAGATCGAACTGATACGACCCGTTCACTGAGACAAACCTTTTTTAACTGTAGATTGCAATTAATATTTAAGGATTTAAAAGCAGGAGAAGTCTCCTGTAATATAAGACTAAATCAGTTGTAAAGTGCAACACTGGTTTTACAAACGTTTAAAATATGAAAATCTATATTTTTGTTCTGAATAGCAGAAAGAAGTTAATTGTAGCACAAAGTGGCAGTTCAAAACTGGCAAAGCTTTTCCTTAACTCCTAACAAAACGAGGATCTGCCACCGATGAATCACACAAATTACCAGRTTTTAAAGCTTAGTTATTATATAGAAAAGCCAAAAATGATGTTTCTTTTTTAATAGGGGGGATTATGTGCTGAGTTTTTTCCTTGGCTTAGAGGAAGGACTTCCTGGAGTCTCTTGGTTGCCTGGCCACACTCCATAACCCTGTTTCTGAAATGTTGGAATGTAGCTCAACTCAAGTCTGAGCCCCCAAACTACATATGAAAGCAATTAGMTTTTATCACACTGCAATAATGACTTTATTAAGCCTCCATTTCTTTCTAAAGGCTGTTTAATAAAATATACCATCTAGAAAAAATGTGAAAATAAAGAAGTTTTTCCATGTTTTTCGTGAAGAAGTTATTTTTTCTTTGTTTTTCAGCTGTTTTCTCCTGTGTTTTAGCAAATTTGGAACTACAATCAACATCAAATGAGATTTTGAGTGCTAACTTCCCTTTGTTTTTTTGTTTTTTTCCCCTCTTTTGCTTCCCCCGCTCCCACCTGCCCTCCTCCTCCTCCCACCCAGGAGCTGCACAGGACCCAGGTAAGCCTTTTCCTGCATGTTTCCCTTTGTCCTGCCGACCACATCCTTCCTCCATGTTTCATCTCTCAGGTTGTTTGAAACATTCCTCTTTTAACACTTCAGGCCTCGTTGTGTCCAATCATCACTTCTCTTGTTCTCTTTCAGTCTCCACAGACTATTTTCTTCCATTTCTATAGATGTGGAGTCATGGATTTAGATTTGTTTTTGTTTTCAGTTCTCTGCAGGTCTTCTAACTTGTATTAACATTAACTTACTAACGTCATGAGTATGAAAAACTAGAATTATTTGAAAGTGACTTCCTTACAAAACTGTAATGCAGAATGTATATCAAAGTTTGGAAATTGATCAGCACTTTATTTCAGCTGTGTTTTAGTTTTAAGACAAAAAATGACTTTTATATGAAAAATAGAGAGGTACAGTCCTTAAATCTTTTCACGCTGCTTCTCTAAATGACCACACACACACACACACACCACCACCACCTCCAAAACCTCTGTCTTCTCTCTAACAAGTCTTTTTAATCCAATTAGCAGTGACAGTTATTTATAAGTGCATGAATAAGAAGTGAGGAGCAGGAGATCCTCCCTGGGGGCTGATTGGACAGAACCCAGTCTTTCAAAGGCGTGTTCTCGGTCACCAACCTACGCCGCCGCTGATCACCGTCAAGTCAAGGACAGCTGCCGTCTTCTCTGTCCTCTCAGTGAAAACCAAACAAGCGCCCAGTTATTTTTCTTTTTTGTTGTTGTTGTTTTTGAAGCTTCAAAACTGAGAAACCCAGTTTCATGTTTCAGTTTTGTTTCTTCTTCGAAGTATTTGCTGAAACCCTAGCCAATGAAGACRTTATTTTATTTATTTRTTTTTTGACGGAGCCTAATTGGGCCGCTTTAATAAGCCCGTCTCATTGGCGTTCAGGTTGATGTCAGATCTGCGTTTTCTGTTCACTGYGTGGACTGAAACAGCCGCTGAGCCAAAATGGTTGCTCAACCTGCCAAATTACACTTTTGAACTCTTTGCCAAAAACTGCAGGAACTTCAGAGGGGTGGGAAAAGTAACGTTCGCATCGCCAGCACATCCCTTTTTAAAGGATTTAACCACATTTTTTAAAATATGTTGTTAGTAAACATAAACATATTGGTTTAATTGTCAAAGGCATTTTTTAGGATTCAGATGTAATATTTCACCAGACAAATTCACTTTCAGTGCAACGATTCCACTTAATTATGAGTCAATGAAGTTATCAACTGATGTTTCAAATTATTTTTTAGGCTTTAGTAAATGCAACGATTTGTTTTGTACTTGAAAATAAACACTTTTTATTTGTATTTGTTGAATAATCAAACAAGGACAGAACTTAAAAAATAACTTTTTTTTCCGAGGCGTGTGACGAGTTCAGGTCTTTATTAATTAAGACCCTCTTTTACACGTTTACACCCATCTGTGACATAAAGAGTCAAACTGTAGGTGGACACAAAGAACAGTGGGCCCCCCCTCTGATGGAGCATAATGGGCTTTTGATGGTTCTGAGCTCAAAGCTTTAGGAGCAAAGCTGAGATGATTTATCGTTTATAGAAATCTAAAACTGACAGATCAAGTGTAAAGTTCTAAACGAGTGTTTTCATCAACTGTTGTTTGAAGATGACAACAGTCCACCTTTTGTCACAGTTCTGCTAAGATATTAAATATGAATAGCTTTAACACAAAAATCCACTTCAACATAACTCAATTGACCTCTATTTTATGTTCCTTCTAATTTTTTAATGAACCTTCAGTTTGTTCAGCCAGTCAGTGTGTGGACCAACAACATCCTCTTACATCAGAAGAAACCAGGAGCTAAAACAGGACCAGCAGGGCAAAAAAATAAAGGACAAGAAGCTCAAACAGCTATAARAAAGGGTGAAATTGTCCTCAACAATAACCGATTTTCCTCAACCCCCCCCCCTAACCCCAACGACGCGTTCAACTCTTATCTCTTTATCAAAATGAAAAAATAATAAAGTGATAGTTACAAACTTTTAAAGATTGAGTTATACAGAATTTTTATCATTCCAATGGAGTTGTTTTAGTGATTTTTATTAACACATATTTGGGTTATTGGGGCGAGGGCTACTTTTTAGCTAAAAAGTAGCTAAAAACATAAAAAATGCTTAAATTAACAAAACACCTGAATGAAACAATAGCTAAATTTATTTTATTTTATTTATTGATTTCAAACTTTATTCATTCCATAAAAACAAAATTCTATGTACAATGAAAAAGAAAATACAAATAAAATGAAATGAAAGATGGCAGAGAAAAAAAAATCTTGTAAAACCTGCCCCTTATTTCTCAAATAAAGGTGGCTTAGAACCACCTTTTGGGACCAGCTCCTCCTCTGTGTCTCCAAGCTGAGCTTCCTCATCACAGAACACACCCACCCGGCCCTGTGCTGAAATGGGCGGGACAGAAGCAGAAGGAGGWTCTTAAAGAGACAGAGGCCAATTTCAAGGTGTTTAGAAATGGATATGATGAGAAGTCAARTTTATTTTCTATTTAAACACATAAACAACTGAAGATGACAAAGATACTTTTATTATGGTCTAGAATTTAAATCCACGCCTGAGAAACACATAATATTGCCCCGTTGAACCATTCTATAAATCAGCCATGAAACATGGCTGCAGTCTCACTTGTAACCAGAGAAGAAGAAATAGAAATATTGAGAATATTTGTTTTAGAAATGACTTGTCGTTTCTTTTTCCAGAACTAAAATTATAAATGGTTCGTTGAAAACACAATTTGTGCATTCAAAGGTCACATTGTTTCTTTTCTTGACCTGACAACACAGACGAGGCTTTTTCTTTTTCTTTTTCTTTTTTCCCCTGCATGGGCGTGTGTTTGTTCTGTGTGCCAATCAATAGGACGGAGGACGTGACGGGATGGAGGTGGGCTGAGAGACGCAGCAGTTAAACATGAGGGGGTCTTATCCCTGTGTGCACAGGCGGGCTCTTAAAATGCACACGAGCGTGCGTCGGTGCGCACACACACTACAGCTCAGATTAATGACTAAATCAATCACACGCATACAGTGTTTGCTTGTCATCCTGTATGCTTTTCTTTTATAACACAGGTTCAATTTCCCAAGCTACTGGAGCTCTATCAGCGTTTCTGCAGAATATGTATTCAGCAAGGTCATCTCTTACTGCACCAAGAAATACGTCAACCACAGGAAGGTGTCTCTGCGATTGAATTGTCAATATTCACTATAGTCCATTGCATTGCAATCTGCATTTGTCAATACATGAGCTCCTTAAATCCACATACTGAGATGAGAACCCTGCTCGTTTGTAAATAGCCCGTGTTTTTGGCTCTCATTGGCGTCTGTGGACAGATTTATTCTGGTAACAGCTGCGTGACAACTAAATCTTTTTTAAACTCATCAAGCTGTAAAATGGATTTCTGTAAAACATCAGTATCACCCGCCACTGACAGAGTGATCATGTTTTTGCACGAGTCTGTGTGGTGCTTTGTCTGTACCACGTGCAATATTTCTCATGAACCATGGCACTTATTTGATTTCCTGCAATAATGCGGTGTGAATCCTTAATGCAGAGTGACTTTTGTAATAAATAAATAAATAAATAAATAAATAAAAAAGCTTAAGCTAGTCTAAGATGGTTAAAACAATAGATGGAGTTGGCAAAAACAGCAGGATGAGTATGTTGCTGAATTAAGCAGTAAGAAGCTGAAACTACCTTTACAAGGTAAAGAAAAAAGCTAAAATTTGTTCTAAGTAGCTAAAAAACAGCTAAAATGAACATAAAACAGCTGAAACAAAAAAGCATCAAATAGGCAAAATGAAGCTGAAAGAAACACAAAAAGCTGAAATTAGCTGAAGAATAGCAAAAAAGGTCAAAATGATAGCTGAGTGGGGGCAAACATCAGCAAAATAGAAGCAGAAAGAAGCTGAAATTAGCTTGAAGTAGTTAAAAAGCAGAACAATAATGAAAGGTAAAAAAAATGCAGTAAAGAGGTATAAATATTTTAAAKGGTTTGAAGCTCCATTCAGTTTCAATGAGCAAAACATGGTACACAAAGCTAAATATACCAAAGAATAAATTGCTCAAGTACCATAAGTCAAAGCAGGAGCTGAACATTTTGATATATAAATTGTACAAATAGCTCAAAACCTGCAGACCAAGATTCATTCTGAAACTCTCAAAAAATACACCTACAGCAGATTAACTTTTAGAGTTATTTTCATTAATTTTATTTATCTAAAATGCACATTCAGCATCATTTTAATGATGACGGAGCTGGAATTGGTACAATGATTAGATTGGTTATCCAGGTCTTATAAACAAATAAAACCATGTCCTCAAACAAACAACTACCAATAAAACATCCATAAAACAAAACCCACAAGATCACATTTTATAATAAGTAAAATGGAACCTCTAATTTTAGATCTCCTATTTGGTTTGAATTTATCATTCAAGATGGCTGCCATAAACAAATTTTTCAAACACAAAAAATGGMCATAATTCAGTCCATTTCACTTATGGTGAGCTAAGCATTGGTGTGGTAGTAGCTGTGAGTCTTCCCAAGTTCCTACTCTGAGAATTAACTCATCTTGTGAGATGTGGCTGTGGCGGCCATCTTGAAATGAAACTGTCAAGACAGGTAGCAAGAAATGAATTTTCACCTTTCTTTATTTTTCCCCGACATGTTTGACATAAGAAAATAAGTAAGAGAATTTACCAAACGGAATGTGTGTTACAGCATTTTAACAAGAGTAGAGAGTGAATACAATTAATAAAATCAAAGTCTGGTGATCACCGTAAAACGTTACGACTGAAATTAAATTTTACAGGGAGCACAGAGGTTTTACTCCCCRCTCATATCCTCACCGAGGGTGCAAACAGAACTCAGTAAAACAGCTTTTATGTTACTTTACTGTCGAAATGTTCTGAAAATATGTTCCCATCATTTTATGTTTTTTTTTTATTTTTACTGTCAGTGAA